TACTATTATCAATTGCACCAGCACAAAAACCTTGAGGACCAGATTGTATTACTGAGGGTGTCCATGTCAATGTCATTACCCACATATCTATGATATTATATTTCAAATTGAAAAGTTTTCACACTCTAACAAGCTATGATCAATTGCTTACTAGGACTTGGATTACTAATAGCACTATGTGTCATTCCAATAGGTGAACTAGTGACAAAATCAACAATTCTTTGACCAGGACAATATGTTTCCGCAACCACGGTTTCATTGAGTTGAACATCTAAAACATGAAATTCATATAGAAGGAAAAAAGATATGAAGTGTACTTACTATATGGAACTCCAATACATGCTAAAGAGGGTTCAACAGATAAAAGAAAGTATTATTAAATGCATGAGGTTAGTTTAGAAAAGAATACACATTCATACCTCTATTTGGACGGATACCAGTAATATTTGGACGTTGTGCACACGCACCTGAAGCAGCTGTATATCCATAGAATAGGAATTGTATTGGAACTGAACTCATTGGAGTCGTGGAGCTAGCGTCATAATAATCTTCGATTTGTAGTGCACAAGCATAATACTGGCCAGGATTTGGTAGAGTGAAAGATAATGTACAATTGGCTGAGATGAGTACAGTTCCAGGAGGCAGTCCGTGACATATACCTCCACATTCATCAACTCCATTGTAATTATTTGTAGAATTTGCATTGGACCAACGACATTGCAATATATCAGTAGCATCATTATCTGCCATTTGTACAATATGAACTATTGGTGTATTTATTGGATAAAATACTACTGGCAATGTATTTGTAACAGGACTGCTATTGGTAAAGTTATCAGGTCTTAGAGCTAAATTCAATCGATTGACAATTGACCACGGATCATTACCGCCTATATAGAGGTTGGAAAACCATGCATTTGACTGAAAACCAATTGTAATCGATGTTGTCAAATGCAGCGTCATAAGAGTGTAGAGTTCGCCAGCCCATGATTCAATTATCTGATTTAAGTCACAATCTGTAGTTGTCATAACGGTTGAAAGTGGAATATAGGTAGGACTAGTTGAACAGTTTGCTAAACAATACACATAATCAATGACTGGAACAGATGTTTGAGCAGCGACAAATCCCTCGTTACATAAAGGTGCAGGAGCAAAACCGGTCCAATTCCGAGCCCAAAAGTATCTTTGATGTATGAGAATCTGTGTAGTGCTACCCGTTGGTGTATTATTTACTGGACGCCTAAGAAGAAGAAGAAGAATGTAAAAAGTAAAATATGCAACATTGATTGGAAGGACAAGCATTGTTTGAGTATACTTACCATGAAATAATACCACCACGAAAATGTGCTCCATCAAGCACAGTACCTAGTGTAAGTAAAATCAAGAGGAAAAGGCATAAAATCCGTACCATTTGATCAATGTACAACTGTTGCTTCTTCTTTTTCTCTTTCGTATGATGAAATACTCAATCACAGAGTAAGCTGAAATTAAATGTGTTAATTTTTAGAGTGAGTATAAAACTTATTTTCTTCTTCTTTTTATACGTGGATGTGTTTGTTTTAAGAGCTTTCAAGAGAAGTGAATTATTGTTTGATCATAAAAATGTTTGACTTTCAGGCGAGAAAAAAAAGAAATTTGAATTTATGACTTCTTAATATTAACACTAATGGAAAAAAAACTTAAGCAATAGAATGTTGAATTATTATTTATTTTGTCCAATTCAATTGCCAGGCTTCAGAATGAATAAAAAGACATCACATCATAATGGTACACAATATGCAAATACTTTCGAATCTATTATTTCGGTATTGTTCTGATGTCACCAGGACGCACACAGCGTGTGGATGGGTATAACTTCATGTAACTTTCTGGCGCGTAAACCATGCAATTTCCGCAAGATTTTTTTATGAGAGATAGTACTTTATGATCGTTCAATCAGAGAAACCGGGGCAAAAAAAAGAATCGAAGCTCAGATTTTCTCGAGTTTGCCATGAAACTATAAAAGTTTTAGATTCTGATGAGTAGATTTTTTTAGCCTATTAATAGTAATGTCTTCTTGTTTATATAAAAGAAAAACATTTCGTATTAGAACATTTCTTTCGTAATAAAAAGTCTCTTGAAAAATGACGTCTTAATAATTGTATTAAAACGACCAAATATGTCACAAGATTCAACGTGAAAAGCTCTACAATTTATTTAAGATTGTTTTTAAAGTGATCATTATTTGGACCAACCGAATTTCAATCTTGAGAAAAAGTCGTTTTCAATACACGACTAATGTTTTTTTTATTTATTAATAAAAAAATTTATTTAAACAAAAAATAAAATACATTCTGATATACAGAATGAAAAAGTGTAAAATCTAAAAAAGAAATGTTTATTCTCTTTCTCGTCAAGAAAAATATCGCAAGAATAAATTATTTATATGTTTGCTTGCTTGTGTATCCATACTTCACTGATCGGTCGAAAAATAATGTAAAAACAAAAAGAATTCTTTTCTATCAAACTTCACGAAAGGTAATCAAGTATGAAGACTTCGAATGTGAGGGTATGGGTGAAAGCAACTCACACCCTCAAGGTGGTCGTGCAGATTCTCCAGCTTCAAATGTCAATATGATTCGTCGATCTGTGCTGTCAAAATTGAATACAACATCTGTTCGTTCGTATTGTTTGTTGGCAAAAATTCTTGTTCTAAAGTGTCCATTATGTAATTCAGCAATAGACAGTAAATCATAAAGACATTGGGATAAATTAGATGCAGTATATTCTTAAGATCCCTCTACTTCGTGCCAGATTCCTTCTGACGGCATAAAAAGCGAATTGCTTTTTAATTCAAATTTTTCGTAGGAAACAGGATCACTTAAAGTAGGAAAACGAAAAGTAAAAATCGTTCGACCATGAAGTGTTCTTCGATCTGCAGTACAAAACCATGGAATATCATTCGTTTTAATGATAAATCTGTATTTATTACCAACATTTACTAAATATTTGCTGATAATTTGATCGAAGGGCACACATCTAACATTATTCATGAGATCATTTAATAGAAAATTGTTGAACAAAATAGTTTGATTCTCTCCTCCATTTGAATCTTGTCTATCTATCTTTCTGTATTGAATAATTCGTAAAAGTGAAATGGAATATCTTAATCTTACATATTTCTTTTATATAAGCCAGATATATTTTTTTCCCTTTGTGAAATAAATTCTACCGTGGGAAGATTTGTATGTGAATTCATTTCTACTCACCTGCTATTTATATTCGAAGAGAAAAGAAGAAAAAAAAAATGAGATGCATGAATTTAACAGATGTAGGTATATTTTATTTTATTCTCTTTCATACCTATTTTTCTAATGCTGTCTCAATACTATACACATTTATATACTTTTGCTCTCAAAAAAAATAATATAAAAATCTTAATAAAATGTAAAATAGTTTTCAATATGATTGATGGAAAAAGCATATTTTAAAAAATATAAATCTTAGGCATTGTAGTGAATATAGTGTTATTTTTATTAAAATATTATTTATAATGTTAAAAGAAATAACATGAAAATGAATTTAGGAAGCAGAATATTTTGTGCATAAATATATAATTATCTTCCATTTTTCTATCGTAGATTTGTGTAATTAGAGAATTGTATTGAAAAGTTTTGAGAACACATTCGTGTTTTCTTTTCTAAAGAGTTGAAACAATCTTATTTACCTCAAAGTGAAAATTTGGAAAATTACAAGACTTATTTTATTACTTTTCCTTTTATTATATATGTCCTCCATTCAAAGTATGCATATATCTACTGCTGTTTAGCGGCCTCTTCGGTTATTCTTCTTCTTTTTCCTTTTCTTTCTCATTCTTATCTTTTTTTTCTTTCTACGACGCGTGCTGTGCGTCGTGTATCTGTTTTTCTCTCTCATTCATTTGTGTACCTCCTCGAGTGGTGTATACTGTTTTTTTGGTTTGTGTGGAACATAGAGTGAGTAGGAGCACACAACATACATTTTTTATATGAACTATAACTGCACGTCGAACCTATCCGAATTAAATATGAAAAGAAACTAGTCTCTTACTGGTCCAACTCTGTTTATTATTCAATAGTTTTCATAAGTGTCTATAATCACACAAAAAAAGTCTGAGCGCGATCGATTGAGAAATGAAGGACTTTTTTTCGAAAGACATATCCGTAGTTGATGGTTGTCATCCACACCCACCCTTGACATTAACTTGTTTTTTTTAGAAAGATCATCGTGTTCAGCAGCGCATTCACCATCGATTAGAATCATTGAACACAATGTTATCGACAAATCCAACAGATCCTACATTCAGATCCTATAGCGCCGTTCAGGCTCAGACCTACGCTGTTGAACGGAGATCATATCCAAATGAACTTTACGATATTGTGCTCAAATATCATACCAGTACTGGGGGCAAATTAAACCAACTTCTCGATGTGGGATGTGGACCTGGAAATGCGACACGAGATCTTTCCATAGCCTTTGACCGTGCGGTAGGCGCTGATCCGAGTGCAGAGATGATTGCTGCTGCACGAAGCCGAGGTGGAAAGACTCGATCGGGTGACGATATTAAGTTTGAAATTAGTCTTGCAGAAGAATGCTCGAAAATAAACGAAATTGGAGCTGAAACTGTAGACTTGCTCACGGTAGCAATGGCTGTAAGTCAATATTTATGTGAATGAAATCATACAATATTATTGATCATGTTAGGCTCATTGGTTCAACATGGATGCATTCTGGACTGAAGCAGCAAAGGTACTCAAACCAGGTGGTTCCGTAGCTCTTTGGACGCTTGCTTCCCTCTATTGCCGTAAGATCCGTTTTTTTCTTTCGATTAATTCCGAATTATATTGATTTACATCTTTTATATGTTTCAGATCCTTGCACTCCAAATGCTGCAGAAGTGCAGCGTATTCTCTTTCATTTGGAACGCGAAGTTCTTGCGCCTTTCGAGCTACCATCTAATCGCCTCTCGCGAGACATGTACGATAAACTTGTTCTTCCATGGGATATGATGCCTCCTATCACGGCTTTCTCTTCATCCGATTTTGTTCGATATGAATGGGATCGTAATGGTATCCTGAGCAATGGTAGCACATTTTTTGGTCAAAGTGATGAAGCCTCTTTAGATGAACTGGAAAGAGGATTGGCAACATCCAGCATGGTCACACGTTGGAGAGATGCAAATCCTAATTTGGCAGGAACCGACAAAGATTGCGTGCAAGAAGCAATGAAGAAGCTCAAAGAAGCGCTTAATGGACAGGAGACCTTCATACAAGGTTCCGGAACTGTACTCCTACTGTTTAAGAAGCAGTCATCTTGAGGGTGTGGGTGTTGGTTTGGAAGGATACATTAAAGTGACACATCCATATTCTCAAGATGATATCATTCACCATTGAGAATTCAATATGGACTATTTGATATTCTAAACGCATATCCTGTTATTTTAATATTGTTGAATATATTGGAAATAAAATAGACACAATAATAATGTTAAAAAAGCCCCAATAAATTGAGGGTGTGGGTATATATTCTTCTCATTCGTTGTCCATACCCGCAAGATGAAATATATGAAGTAGAGTAGATTGGTTTTAAGTGAATGATATAATCTATATATTTATGTATTTATTTAGACGACAAAGTAACCGAACGAAACAGACAGTCGAAGAACAATGCTCGAAAAATATGTTTTTTAATCATTGAGAATTATGGATATGTATATAATTGTACAATATCTGTTGCATTTAATTCACGTGAATATAATCGAACTTCATCAATACTTCCATAGAATTGTTGATTGAGATATCCACAACTCGTATTGAATAATGAATTTCCAAAAGTAAGTGTTACAGGAGAATCATTAGTTGAATATGTTGTCATAATTGATCTATATAGACTTCCATTAACATACAATTTCATTCCATGTACTGTTGAAAATGTATAAATAATATGATTCCATATACCAATATGCATCACTGGACCGAGAATAATATTATTCATAGTACCATTAAAGATTTGAATTTGAATCGTCCCATTATATAATAAGGTAATCATTTCCATGCACTGAATCGCATTGGAAAGGTAAACAATAGAACTAGTCTCAGTTAATGAATTTATTTTAAACCAAAGAGATAAAGATAGAGGCCAACTGGATGTACCTAAAAGAACAAGCCCAGATAGTTGAAAGTAAGAACCATTCGTCGGGAAATCAATAGCCTGATTGACAATGCCTGAAGGAATTGACACTGCACCACCACCCCAACTTCCATTGATGCAATTAGGACCAGAATCTATCAATGATGCATTGGAAAGAAATCGATGATAGGTAACAAGTGTAGCATCATTAAGAATTTCGCTAGCATTTTTTACACGAGAATTGTATAACATTTGATTAATATATCCAGTAAAGAATTTGTCATAAGCCGCACCCTTACCCATTTTCCGACAGCCGATAGTTAGATTGACACAGTCTGCACTAAGAGATCCATTCGAATGTTGAGCATGTTCTAAACTACCATTAAGATAAATAAATTTTTTGTTTGTTATCAAATCATAAATCAATGTCACATGAGACCATTTATTTACTGGAATCACTGTTAAACCACTGACATCATCATACCAAAATGAAAACAAAATCTTATCATATCTTATCATAAATAGTAAGCATTGATCCTTGCTCACATTAAAACATTGACTGATGAATGTAGTATCATTGGGCAATGCTACTGTCGGATAAATCTAGAATTCCCAAGTGAAACTCATATAACTCATGTTTAAGTAAGGATAAACAATAACACATTGATTGTGTGTACCATTTAATGCTAAAGCTGAACCATATCCATTGATACCTGCTGTGTATGTTGGAGAATTATACCCAACACCAATAAATTGACCACTTAAATCGTTAAATGTATTATCAAATGTCCAAAGAATAGTTTGTACTAAAAATAAGAGGTCATGGCAAATCTCAAACTGGTACCAATTTCTACTAAATATCTGATCACTGATATCTGATTTTTAGGAAGAAAATCAGATATTTACTTTAATATAGCCTTCAGGAACAGCATTAAAAAGCAGATATCAGATATTTACTTTCAATATGAAATTTAAAAGTTTTTATTTGAATATAACATATGAAGTCTCATATACTAGGTATAATTTTAAAAATACTATCAGAAATCAGATATTTACTTCTCTGTATAGTTTTCAAACTTTGACTATGGATTCTATATAAGACATACACATATTTTCTTCGTTCAGTGGTCCTAGCAGATATCAGATATTTACTTTCATTACAAAATTTGGAGAATTCTGTTTAGCTATAGTATATGAAGCCTCATATAGTAACTATAATTTCAAAAATATCAGCAGAAATTAGATATCAGATATTTACTTTCAATATAAAATTTCAAAATTTTGTTTAAATACAGTACATAGAGTCTCATATAGTAGCTATAATTTCAAAAATATGAGCAGAAATCAGATATCAGATATTTACTTCTCTTTACAATTTTCAAATTTTGACTATGGTGTCCATACAAGACATAGACATATCCCTTTCATTAGAAATCTTAGCAGAAAGCAGATATCAGATATTTACTTTCAACATGAAATTTCAAAATTTTGTTTAAATACAGTACATGGAGTCTCATATAGCAGCTATAGTTTTAAAAAGCTCAGCAGAAATC